CCTTCACGCGCAGTGATCGGACGTAAGAGCAGACTGTTGTTATTGCACAAGGCCGCAGAGGCAGATAAGATTCCTCTAGTCCTCTTTGAATTCGCAGGACCCTCTCTTGTAGATGATTTACACGCGTTGCTAATGAAACTTTAGTATCAGGAAACTGTCCCGACAGACTGGGAGGCTCTCGTTCGAAAAGCGGCAACCATAGAGGGATCAGTCTGATCTCAATTGCCTCTTAATTGCTTGTGTTTGTCGTTCTCCACAGTCTGACTGGCACTCGTGAAAGCCAGATCCGTGAAGAGCAAACCGAGTTCCGTCGAGGTCGGGGCTGCATCAACCACCTCCACTTTGTGTCAATTGTTGGAACACTGCCATGTTTATTGGCGACCCACCGTTATTGTTTCTCGACATAAAAGAAGTGCTTTCGATTCGGTGGAATGACGTGCCCTTTGGGACTGCCTGCTGGGGATGGGTGTTCCCGATAAATACGTAAACATTATCAGAGAGCTGTACGCGTATAGTTCGGGCATAGTGAAGTTTTATGGCAAACTTCAGTGGTGTGAGATAAGGTTGCCCACTGTCACCCTTCTTCTTTAACTTCGCCATTGACGAAGTCATGGAAACAGCATTCGTTGGACACGACCTAGAAAGTGTGGAGCTACTTCCTGGTGAACAACTTCTTGACTTGGAGTATGCGGACGTCATTGCTCTAATCTTTGAGAGCTCTTAAACGTGCCAAACAGCACTGGGCCGATTAACACTGCCTGTCAATCGTTTTAGCTATGCTCTGCTCCATCGAGATACTAAATCCTTCTCCAAGATTGCCGCGGACCCAACCCTGCGCTGACTCTTGATGGAGATCAGCTAGAAGTCGTTCAGGAATTCAAGTACCTGGGCAGCTATATTAGCGCCCATGGGATCGAAGAGGAGGTTGCAAACCGTATAGCAACAGCTGGAGACGTTTTTGCCGATTTCCGGCACCTGTGACGCAGACGCGACATCACTATCGCCCCGAATGGTAGAGCCTATACTGCAGCCGTCCGTACTATCCTCCTTTACGGTTGTGAAACCTGGCCCGTCAAGTCGACAGACATAAACATTGCTAACTTACAAAGACGCTTAGACCGATGGGCCGTACATTTTTGTTCCTAGTTCAATTGGCCCTCACCGTTCACTTATATCCCCTGCAAACCCAGCTTCCCGCCTTGGGTCGTCACACTTGATGCATCCAACGAAGCGGGAGTTTGTCTTGCGATCCGACACCTAAGACGATTCAAGGCTGCCGGCTCAGACGGACTTCCCCCAGAGCTGTTCAAATATGGATGCTCAGTTATCACTAGCCAGCTAACCTCATTGTTCTCCAAAATCTGGCCTGAAGAAAAGGTGCCCTCTTCCTGAGGCGAGTCAGTTATTGTCCCGGTTTTTAAGAAGCGCGCTCGCACTTCGTGTTCCAATCACCGGATGATTAATCTCATTTCGGTTGTCTCCAAACTATTGGCATCCATTCTACTCCGTAGACTATCTCCCATTCGCGACTCGCATTACCGGGAAGAACAAGCTGGCTTCCGACCTGGCCGCGGGTGTGTGGATCAGGTAATCACACTCCGTCAAATCATGGAACGCCGCCTTTACCAGAGACCTACCATCGTTGTATTCCTGGACATACGTGCCGCATTTGACTCAGTTGATCGACCTGCGCTATGGCGTTGTTTGCTAAGGAATGTTGTCCCAGAAAAGTACACTACCATCCTAGGCACACTGTATTTCCGCATCTCTGGCAGAGTGAGGGTGTATGGCAGGCTTTCGCCGTCCTTCACTGTCATTAGCGATGTACGACAAGACTGCCCTATATCCCCGTTCTTCAATTTTGAGATTGAAGACATCCTGCCGAGAACTCTAGACCGTTGCCAACATTTTGGTATACTGCTATTACCGGACAAGCGTGCAACGGACTTCCATTATGCCGATGATATCACATTATTTGGTGAGGACTCACAGAGCATACAAACCATTCTAGACCGTTTGGCGATTGAGGCAGTTAGGTACGGAATGGGCTTTGCCCCGTAAAGGTGTAATGTGTTGCTTCAGGATTGGCACTCAACTGTTTCCGTGCTCAGTATTGAAGGTACACAACTTGAACAAGTGGATTGCTTTGTCTACCTTGGCATCTGGGTGTCTGCTGGTGGTACCATTAGGGTGGAAGTTTCTCTTCGCATCGCAAAAGCTCGGTCTGTGTTTATCGACCTGCAGCATTTATGGCGTCGCCAGGATATCTCACTCTTTGTAAAGGGTCGTGTTTAAAATGCCACTGTTCGGGCGGTATTACTATATGGAAGCGAGTCATGGCCAGTTCGCGTAGGCGATATGCGCCGGTTCTTGGTCTTCGACAACGGGTGCTTGAGGAGGATTGCTCGTGTGTGGTGTCAATTTGCGCCAGTAAAGTCAAACGTCGTATCTTGGGGAATGCGAGTATCCCCTACAACAAGCTGATTTTGCTACGTCAGTAAAGATGGCTCGGTCATGTCCTGCGTATATCAGCTGATCGTTGGCCCTATCGCATTCTATTTGTTCGTGCAGGACTCAACTGGAAGAGACCAGGTGGTCCACCATTCACTTGGCGACAGTGAATGAAATCATTGACTTCACCTCTTACCACCATTGGATCCACACGTCTACCGGGTTGGGGACCAAAGGCCGAAGAGTTGCTGATGGCTGGAAACAATTTAGGATATAGCTCGCAATTGAAACCAGTGGAGGATCAGTGTACATAGCTGCTTAGATTTGGCTACTTAATACCTTACGATTAAAAACAACAAAACCGATTAACAAATTGGGTGTACAAAATAACTAAAAATGCTCCGTTGTCTTTTATATTGCTGCTCAATAGATGAAGCGTGTTGCTCACCTTCAGTTTATGTGCCATCATATTGATACGGTGTTCGATTTGTCTCCTTTTATTGATTTCCATGCTTCTGTTTGGCTCTATGTCTATTTGATACACTGCCAACTAAGCTACCATTATTGCTAGTCACCTTCGATCATCGCTGCCTTCGCAGCTCAGCTCATGTCTGGTGGAGACACCGTATGAACAATGAGCGTGTTCAGCGCCGCGTATATGACGCAGGTAGAGCTAGTAAACCGCTCAGCACCATTATATCACGCACCAGGCTCCGATGGCTGAGCCACGAGTTGCGCATACCAGCACACCGACTCCCGCGACGTGCATTGTTTGCACGCCCGGGGGTGCGGTTGGAAGAGGAGGCCAAGCGATGAGTTGGTCGAGAGAAATGAAAACCCTTACTTCGAAGCTCGCGTCGGCTGGTGCATCCCGACTCCCTGACTGGGGTCATAAGGGCGATGAACACGTTTTGTTGGACACACTTGCTGGTATGGCGAAGAGCCGGCCCCAATGGCGTTTGTGTTGTGGGTATCTTTGTCCATCCCCTTCCCCTTCAGATTCCACTTCCATTCCGATGTCATACGAAATGCATTATAACATTTACCAATGTATTACTTGTTTGAGATATTTGTAGTCTACTTTTTTGTTGTATCTTTTTTGTATTGCGGCACCTTATCTGAAGGTTGTTTCTCACCCTCCGCTTACGTGTATTGATGATGATGATGATGCACCGCTGTGCGTCACTGTGCCCAAAAGCGATGGTGCATAGGATAGGTCAGTCTTAATGTGTCACTCGCATATTTCGTATTGGCCAGTTGGTTACTCGGCCAAACTTCCACTGCAGTCATGGGCTTCAGTAGAACGTACATGTCAACACATTTTAAATCTTTGCAAACGCGTTCTGAAACTGATTTCTTTCATGCGTGTTCCTGAGACCGCGCATATCAACTCCAAGTGAGCTCGAAGTGAAACCGCTAGCTTTGCCTGGAACCAGTTGGCATTGCCCAAGCATCGGAATTTCTAAGGTGTTTACCCTCAATTCGGTAAACGATTTTGCTCCGTTGTCAATGTTACCGGATAAGTTAGTGGTCGTTATTTCAGTGAACTCGAAAAGAACTTGAAAAATGTCAGAATACACAAGGAAATACTGCTCGTACATCAATGTGGACACATGACTCCCGGAAGATAAAATTCGCTGACGATTAAACTGCGGAGGTGCTGTTTCAGGCTGGAGCTTACGCTACCCGCTTTTTAATTGGATCGGGACCCAACACAGCATAACTGTCAGCCGCAGCCGGTGGTGCGTTTGCTGTCGATCCCTAACCGAACTGAATAAAGTTTTGCTCAGATTTCTCTTCTGCTGTGTGCACTTTAATCGATCTTTGGTTTGAATGTTTGATGCTGCTAAGGGATAAGGGTGTTTAGCATGCAGTACAGGAAGAGGCACAAGCGAGTTACTTCGCGGACACTTAGCTCGATAGCCAACTATTTGAAACCGTATGTTTTCGATGAGCTGTAGGCGCGTTACCTTAATATATGCTTATGCTGCCTACGTTTGTCACTAATTCTGTTTTCTCCGTTCTCATTAGTTCTCGTTACTAAAATTATCGGTACTTCGTACTAATATGCGTTGATATGGGCTGCGCTGAATTGTGTCGCCTCAAAACCGACAACTTTGCATACAATCTGTGTTATCAAGAGACTGAAATGAGACAGTGAAGATCTGGAAGTACTAAACGTTATACCAGTACCGAAGCGTACAGTGCAGACGATACCGAGCTCTAATTATCCTGCATACAGGCTAGCAGCTGTGGGTCACCGACTTTAGACTATTCCATGCGCTCTTCTGATAAAATGATCAATCAGCTGTTGACGTATGTTGCTGTATCGTAAGCGCTCTTACTTAATGGCTCTTTTTCCTGTGTAAGTGCGAAACAAATCATTTGTCATCTGTCTTCCCTCACTTAGGGAAGTGGTGTCAATCATTCCAGCACCAGCACTCACCACAGTGCAGACCCCAACGGTACAGTAAGCTTACTACTAAACTATTTTTAACTACTTAAATGTTATGAGTAACTTAACTTCAATTCATTTTGTATTCCCCTAGCAATGTTGTCCGATCAGCTCCGAGTCAAGTGAACACGAGGAGGATGTGGTGCTTAGAGAGGTCCTCGTTAAACATGACAACCAGGATACAGTTGTTGATCGTTTTACTGACAAACGCAAGGTTATCACTATTGTTGTTCGTTGTCCGCCTGAGGAAACGTCGTCATCAATAACCTCCTCCTCGTATTGGCACAAATTGTCTGCTGCATGGGAACTCACAGTGCAGAAACGCATAAGGGAACAACCGGCAACGTTTGTGTTGGATCTGAAGCGAAATGGCGATTTTGACGATTTCCATGAAGTCGTTGCTCAAACGTTGAGATCACGACCAGATTTTTGTGTCTATCGATAACTTATTTTGAGATATAGGCAGCCTACTTTCCTCCCCTTTCATTCCCCTCTATTCATCAGATTTTGAATCTACAGTATGCATTTTACGGCTATCTTTGTTTATTGGATCCCGGTGTCTGCTAACTTTAATGACTAGATTTTATATTTGAACCACTTATACGCATATTTTTGTTTAACGGCGTTGTTGCTTTCGAACCGAAGGTGTCTTATGTGTTGAACTAGAATATATTCGTTTGTTCTTCGCAGCTCTAAGGCTTATTTATTCCCGTTAGTCATGAATAATATAGCTTTGTATGATTAAAGTGGGCAGGCTTGTTGCTTTCAGAGACAGCCGTTCTTGTCTTCGTTCTGAGTTAGTTTCCCATCACGATGAGACTGGATCTTAACGTTGTGCGATGGTTTTTGTGCCCCAGTGATCCATTGGTCTATACTTGGTAGTGTTTTTTGCACCTTCAGAGCCACCCATACCGGATTGGTCAATGGTTAGAAGCCAGACAAAGTCAGTCTCTTGGTCCTTTAGGTTGTGTTTTGGAGTGATGGTGGAACCTTACCCCATAATACGGGCTCTCTGTAGTCCAGTGCCAAAACCGCACTGCCTTGTGGTAAGGTTTTTGAACCAGGGACTTTGGTTGAGAACCCTAATTGTTCTCCTGTCTAGGCCTGGGCAGCCTGACAGTATCCTGTCCATGCAATACAACTCCATGATTTCTAACAATCTCTTGATGCTCTGGCCGTCACAGAAGGTCATCAACTGCGCCCTGTCTGCTGCATCAAGCAGGGTGGATAGGGGTTTGGATGCTACTGCTCTGGTCTTCCCGTCTTCTTTTTCCCCCCTTTGGGTTTTTTCATTCTTAGCGTCCCGCTCCAACTTCACTTTTATCCCCCGTTTTCAATCCCCCGATTCTCGGCGCTCCTCCACCTTGCTCTGGTAGTCGCTTGTCTACTAGTTTCAACTCACACAATCGCAGGGCGTCACTCGAATCCAGTCGACAAGTCCATGTTCAATCAAGCGGACAACGTCAGTTCATCCGTTTCCCTTTGTAGTCCTCAGTTCTCGTTAAGACCTGCTTGCCTCAACGTGCGCACTTTGCTACAGATTGGCCAACAGACAGCACTTGTCCGAACACTCGAGACCCTATCGATCGGTATTTGCTGTTTATCGGAAACGTGCTTGCAAGCTTTGTGCTTACCGTACTATCCCCTGTACTCCACACTGTCGACACATTCTCAATATCAGTGTGAACGAATTGAAACACTACATGAATTGACAAACTGCTGTACGCTGTGTAAATTTATTTGTCGCATACCAGTAGTGTTGTTGGATCATCGAGTGCTTGCATACGGAATGATAACAGAAAGATTCAAGCGGATGCAGTTGCATTCATAATAAAAGAGGATTAGAATAAAGTGTGCTTAATCGGAACATGTCTTAGAGATTGGATAAGTGTAATGTTGGATTTGTTGACTAGGTGATGTTTTGGGCCTTATTTCCTGTGCGCAGCTAAAATGTAAAAGAAACAGGTCAAACGATTCTAAAGTGGAGTGTGTGCGATATAGAAGAATGAGTGGAATCGGAAAGTGGCATATCCATGGTAATGGAAGTCAGCAGTGAAGATATTTCGGAAACTGAATTATGTATGAAAGCAGTAGAGGTCTCTAAATAATGTATTGGCTGGTAAAACAGGATCAGGAGTGGCATCATGAAATGCTTGGCAGCCATGGTTCAGATACTGAACGATAAGCAGCAGTGACGGAATACTTCATACAGACAAAAGTCAATGATGTAAAACTTACTGGGGAATTTGGTCTAGTGCTGAGTAATATAGGCTGGCAGCAGCGTCTCTTTTGCTCCACTACTGCAAGTGGGACGCGGAGAGCTACAGCGTCAGAAGCTAAGTCCAGTGAACAGCATACGATAGAGGGGCATCCGCGTAATGTTCATAGCGATCACCCTGGCGTGGAAGATGGGGTACCCCTGTACTACCGCAGTGACTGTAACACGAATTGGTGAACCATCCAAAAGATTCAGTCATAGGATCATTCCTGTACCGTCTACGACTGATCCGTAACGACACCCGCCTTTTAGCTTGTGGCGCACTCCTGTACGTTTGCTTTTGCTCGGCCGCATTTAGTCGCACAACACTAGAACTATAATGATTTGTCTTGCATTCACAAGCACCATATCCTAATACTATTTCTCCGATAATACTACCAGTGCAGCCAACATTAACTCTGGATTGTAAATTATGGGCCGTTTCCGCCATATCCAAAAGCATAATTTTGCGCGGTTATAATGTCGGAGACGGATTTTGCTCTAAGTCCATAGAGTATTTTAATAGCGTACAAACAATCTCCCACTCGAAGTTCAGTATAGTGTGGAGCAGCTGGAGTAATATGCGTTTATCCGCAGCGAACCCATACCACTCCCTCTATCCCGACAAATCCACCTTGTAGCGAGTCATAGGCCTGATCACAATAGTCTTCATTAAACCCTGCTGTGATCTGCCCCACCGAACGCTGACGCATTCAGACGAACGTCCATAAACAGGACAATCACAGCAGCAGGGTGAACCGTGTGATCTGGCTCTCAACAAGGAAACAATTACTGATAATAAAGTGTACTTCAACCGAATGGTTAGTAATGATCACCATGTAAGCGCGATACCTAGCTTACCCGCGCCAGCAACATATGCGGATAATGTGTCAAACTTTTCAAGATGGGTGTTTCATGTTCCAAATGTTGTATGATTATTTATGTGAAGTACCTCAGGGTGTTATCTAGCCGGGCCAAATAGTTAAACTTACCAGCTGTTCACTGGTTGTGCGCAGAATGCACTACTATCCAACTAACAAAATACGTGCTCCTGTTATCTCAGAAGTAGGACCAACTAATGATCAAGTTTGAGGAAATGGTGACTAACGGAATCAGCACAGTTGGAGTAAGCATAGCGCACTGTGCATCCAATGCATCCCCAGTAAGTGCTGCTCCAGCCGTGAAGCGAACGACTGGTAACACCGTAAGCAAAACGACACCAAGGTCCCAAGAGCTAAATTGCTGTTATACTACCACAAGCAACTCACAGTTTGATTGGAACGATTTGACGCTAGAATTCGTTCAATATCCCCACTAAATGCTGGGCAAGATGGTAAGCTCTGACCAGTGCAATTTGTGTTGTGTTTGCTTCCAAGGAAGGTCAACTTTCAAAATTGACAACAGCCCCACCCGATCGGATACCGAGGAGCGAAGCGCTGTTCCTCTAGTGCATGTAACACCGGTTCTTTGTGGTACATCAACAGGTATGTCCATCCCTAGTAGTACAATGTTGTAAGATGCTAGGAAACAACAACCTATACTAAGCGATTGTGCTCCAGTGTTGCATAATCAAAGTCCAAGTCCGTTAGAGGCAGTTAATTGAACGACATCAACCAGTGAGACGTCATTAGTAACCTACTCGACGTTGTGTTTAAACTTGTACCTGTAGTGCGAACCACGCGACACCCCAACCGCAGGCATTAATTAAAGCTAAGACCTCTGCGTGCTAAGCTAAACTACAGCACCAAGTAGAATCAACTCTACTATCGACTTGACTCAGAAGTGAACACTACTCCATCCGTATCTTTCCAGACGACCTAGGAGATGAGCGTTATCAAAAAAGCCGAAGCTCATAAGACTACCGGAGGAAAACTTCAGACAGAACCATACGTGTCCACGGAGTTTTTGAAACTGAATCATGTGATTTTCATGAAATATCAACTCATAGTAAGAAACAGTTGAGTTACATTCTTGAAATGCTCTCCTTAGATGACGTGCCAGTGAAATCAGTATCACGCCTACACAGCTCACCGAACTATAGGTGATGAAGTACGAAGAGTATTGCAAGTGCTCCATATGATAGGTTCTTTTCCGCAACTGGTATTGATGTAGCCACCAACGCACTTTACAACGATGTTGAATTCTGCCTGGATATACTTGCACTAAAGCAACGCGTATGTACATTACGCTATCAACCAACCGCACCGATTTTATAGACAATGTCCATCACACTCTAAATATGCAATGAAAACAGAAGAACACAAAAGAGTTCCGTCGTCTTATGCGCATCATTGAAACCATGCTGCAATGGAGAAACAAACAGCCTACGGTGAAGTTAGCACAGGAAAGCGCTGCGAGTATAAGTGAAAATCCGTCAAAATCGCTCACTAATTTACTAAAGCATAGAGGCTCTCGTAATGTGACATCAATTAGGTCAGTAGTGCTACCGGATAAAACAGTGGTTACTGACCAAGAAGAACTATGCGACGTTTAAACTTATGTTTCTGATGCTAGTATGACACCCACAGTTCACGTGCCTAGACTTACCATCCAGCATTACTTTCGATCTGCTCACCATCGCTAGGGTGACAAAGTCGCCCAAACTCTCCTACTTCCCTGGCCCCAATGGCTTACCTTCTGTAGTCCTAACGCTGGGTGGTCCTGACGTTCCACTCCTACTCCTAAACACTTGCACATTATTACTGAGAAGCAGTGCCTCCCATGCCGCCGCGATGCGTGCTATTTTTCTACCGTGCCCCAAAAATGGGTGACGTCAGAACATCGACAACTATCGTCCAATCAGCCACACTCCTATCGTGTCACGAGTGATGTAGTGGATAGTGAAAAAACAACTTGAATTTCGGCTGTCGTGCTGCTTAATTAACAAGTCCAAACATGGATTTTTGCCGTATTAGTCCTGTCAGATGTGTCGATTCAAATTCCTACACATTGTAACAAGAGAAATTGACTTAGGCCATGCACCTGACATTGTCTTCCTTGGTCTGAAGAAGGCTTTGACCGAACACTAAACAATGATTTATCACGGGTAAAAAAGCATGTGCTTGACAAGTCCCGTAGGATGGATGGAGTAAAAATTGAAATTTGTAGGATCCTCGAATAAGTGTATCGTTATTTCAAGCGTCCGCCGAGTTAAATGCACTACTGTATAACAATACTTTTAGGTGGGA